TGAGCAATCAGCATTCCGACCAGTGAGGGTCGGATTACACGGCCTGTAATCCATTAATAAGGAGACATCTCCGGTCATATGATCGGAGGCACTTGAGTCAACAATCAAGGGGCGAGAAGAAGTTGAATCCAAGACGAAAGCAGATGGGGAAATACCTTGATAGGTAACAAGGCCGGTAGCACCCGATGCCACACTAGTAGGCTGGACTGGTGACAACTGACCGAGCATCTTCTGGAGGGCATGAATCTGTTCTTCGCTGAATGGGCTCGTTCCTGGAGAGGTTTTTGTGCTGGTAGCAGCTGCCCGATGATTCCGTTTGAGTTTCCCATTGGCGGGTTTGCCATGAATCCGCCAACACGTATCCTGAGTATGGCCAGAACGGCGATAATGGTCACACCAGGGGCGGCCCTGGCGTTGGCGGTTGTCTGTGGATGGAATATGAGCAGCAAGTGTCGACCTGTCGAGGGCTGTAGTGGACAAGGAAGCACCTAACATGACCTTTTGGCGACTCTCTTCGCGGCGTATATCGGAGAAAGCTTCACGGATTGTTGGAAGAGGTTTCGAATTCGAAATTCATGAGCGAGTCTGGTCAAACTCAGAGGAGTGTTTCTGTTCTATGATTTGGCGAAATAAGTCTTCGGGACACTTCCAAGGTACACCTCGAATAGATCTAGTTGTTGTCAATACCGAGTAAGAGTAAGAGTATTGAAGTATTGGGTGACGGAGAGATCACCTTGACGAAAGTCATGAAGAATGGTCTCAACAACAAATAGTTCGCTTGTATTGTCCACACTATAATAGGTCTCATGGGCAGCATCTCAGATTTCCTTAGTCGTGCCATAGAGAAGAAAATTTTCGCCAATATCAAGTGTCATCGAGTTAACAAGTCAGGTCATTAACCATATTTTACTCGGATTTCCAAGTCTTGTATGACGGATTTGTCGTCATCGGAGCTGGAGCATCACCAGTGAGGTAGTCATCTTTGCATTTGCCGCATACAAACATCATGACTGACTGCGACCATTGGAGGTAATTTTGTTCGGTGAGTTTGTGGCTGGGGGTGGGGGAATGAGGACAGAATTACTATCTGAATTGTTGGGCAATGGAGACCCAGCCGCGGATGTCCTTCCAACCAATACAAGGGGGACGCCCTCCCATGCCTCTTGGCAAACTGACCGTCAAACTTAGTCATTAAGCTCGGCAGGAACTGGTTGTGCTTGGTCGCGGAAGAAAAGTCGGTGATCGCGGAAGACGATCGGAGGGACGATCGCGGAAAACGATCCGAGAGACGATCGCGGAAGACGATCGCGATCGCGGTAGACGTGGACCTGGCTGTGCTCGGTCGCAGAAGACGATTGCGGAAGACACGAAAAACGGCGCGGGAGACGATCGCGGAAGCGGACGCGGACGCGGAAGCGGACAATCGCGGAAACCAGCACGGACGATCGGAGAGAGCCGCGATCGGTCGATTGGACGAGGAGCGGCGCTCGGATGCGGACGATCGGGGGAGACGCAAACTAGGGGTAGGGCAGCGCTCGGTCAAGGACGATCGCGGGAGAGAAGGGTCGTGATCCAGTCGAGCGGGAGAAGCTTCTTTTTTATGGCTCTGATACCATGTGAATTTTGAATAAACTTTTTTTCTCACTGAATACATAGATAATTCGCCTATAAATAGGCGAGTACAAGAGATAAAAAGAGGAAAGAAATCTTCCTACAATTAAGTAATTCCTATAATTATGGAATAAACATAAATAACTATAATTAAGGAATTACCCTTTTTATACCATGACAAAATATAGCAAGTACTAAATAGAATAACGTAAATAATAATGAGTGTAATTCCACAACATACATAAAACTCAATTCTAATGTATCTACATATCTAATACCAAAATTATACTTTTTGCACTTGATTAAAGTACCAAAATAGTCGCCTTGACTAATTCGCATGGGGCCATTGAGTTTATAAAAGTGACATATTAGTCCCCACAATCTTTTAATATGGGTTGAGATAGTCCCTAGAGAGGCCTACTTTAGCCCATATTAAAAGTGTGGAAACTAAATTGACACTTTTATATAGCCTTGGACTAAAATGTCCTCCTGCAAAAAGTAAAGGGACCATTCTCACACTTTTCTCTTTTATCTTTATAGCACCCAAATCTTTCATATCACATAAAAAATACCATTATTTTAACTTCTAAAAAATGAAATACACCTTTTTAAGCATAGGTAAGGTGGCAGAAATGTAAAAAAATTGGAGTTTATGTGTTGGATATGTCAATACATAAGAATTAAGTGGTCTGTATGTAATCTTCTTATTAGAAAAATACTTCTACAGTAACTTTAATAAAAAGCTGCAACCATCCCAAATGGACCTGTAATTTGAACCATATTTCAACATTGGAGATGGATGGAATAGAAATATACCTCCAGTTTCTCAACATTCTTTTGAATCTTCCCAAATGGAGTTAGCTTAGCCTGGGCAAATTCCAAAGCTTCTGTGCTGTCATTTAAGGGTAAATAGATGATGCCCGCTAAGTCAACTTTCAACCATAATAATAAGAAGGGGCATTTACATACATACCACCCAATTCCCATGCATCTACATACCCAACTCAAAGTTTTCTTTTCACATTTATACCACCCAAATCTTTCATATCACATCAAAAATATTATTATTTTAACTTCTTAAAAGTAAAATATACCCCTTTCATACATAGGTAAGGTAGTATGTATGTCAAAATTGAAGTTTAGATGTTAGATATGTAAATAAATAGGAATTGAGTGGCATGCATGTGATCTTCCTAAGAAGAAAGTAAAATGATCACTCACCATTTCTTCGAGCAGACAAGTTCAACAAAATGAAGGCCCAACAAGTCAAAATGAAGATCTTCATTTTGCTCCAGTAATGCGGGAGACAGTTGTTCTGTTAATTCTATTGCTCTAAGAGCATCCCCCTCCAGCGCAAAATGGAAAATAGCTGCACAGGCCAAAACTTGACTATTGATTAATATGCTTTTTGAACCTCCCAGTCTCATCAATGTATATAGATCTTTGACACTATTTGCATTCCAAAATAATGTGTTAAATTAAGTATTTAATTTAAGAATGAAATTATATATAATAATAGAATTGCTTTCATATGAAGAACAGCATGCTATCTGCATTGCCAATCAAAATTTTATTTGGCAAATTACGAATCACACATGGCCAGACAAATGACCATTAATGCATAGCATAATCACACATGCAGCTACCAGATATGTTCTTATATAAATAAGCTATGGAAGGTTCTACTATAAAAAATGGCCAAGTAAATTAGCATACAAAGTAAAACTTCAGGCAAATGAAATAGAGTTCCAGTCCCCAACACAAAATTAAAATTAGGAAGATTTACATACATACAACTCAATTCCTATGTATTTACACAACTAATACCTAAACTTCAATTTTTACATATACACTGTCTTAGCTATGCATGAAAATGTGTGCTTCGCTCTTTATAAGTCAAAATAGTGGTATTTTTTATGTGATATAAAAAATTTTGGTGGAATGTATGTAAATGCCTCTTCTCCGAATATAATAGATCAATTTGCACAGAAATTTTATTATTATTAATATTACTATTATTTTAAATTGCACAGAAATTTACATTTACCTTTCCTCTTGTCCAAGTCGCTTAGATAATCAACAGACTGTTGCATTCCAGTGCCAGTAAGAAGTGCTTCAGCTGTTTCCTTGAAGCAGTTATGCACAAGATACGATAACACAATATTGCGAACATCATTGTCATTAATCGCCTGTTAAAAACAAAAAAAGGTTGAAAATGAAATGACCAAAAGTACAATGTGAGAATATTGACCTTATGATTATAATCAAAACTTGCAAAATATTAAACCAAAAATGGTAATGTTCATATCAGAAAATGTCATAAACATTTAAAACTTCAATGCAGCAATACTATAAAATTTCCGTCTACGCTTTTATGCAGTTGTAGAGGAATAAATTTCTAAGAAACTGTCTCATTGCAAGAATTTTAATTCTATTTTAAATGCAGTATATTTAAATTTTAATGAATTTTGAATTATTGGAAACACTTTCATGTGTTTAGTTGAAACAAATAAGAATGAAATTAAAAATAAAAAAAAAGAGAGCAGAAATTTTACTTGTTTTATTTGAATCATGAAGATTTCGCCCGAATGATGTTGAGAGTCGAATTTAAGCGGACGTCGGATTTAGGTGGTTTAAGCAGAGATCGGAGTTACGCGCGGACCCAACATTGCATTTGTGAGGTTTCAACACAAACATCACATGAATGCATGATGCAATTGAAAATTGCCCAAATCGGGCAAATTTCAAAAACACCAAAAATCATTGGTTTCTCCTAAGTCAAACACTCAAAACTTAAGAGCATGTTTGGGATCAATTTTGTTCTTTGTTTTTGTTTTTGTTTTTTCCATTGTTTTTAAAGACATATTTGCTTCATGTGTTTTTAAGATAGATATATATATATAAAAACAAAGCAGACGAAGACGCCGCAGAACTCAAAGATAAGAACGACTTCTCCGGTGAGGAAGCAGTCGAAGATGCCGGCCAAAGATAACAAAAACTAAAATTTCAAGGATTCAGACTCTGATACCATGACAATATTTTGAGCAAATAGGCTCAATGCCTATTCCTTTGCTTTCATTCCAATAAATAGTTGTTTGTACAATCTATTTTAGGTACATAATATTCAGTATAATCTAATTTAAGTAACTTAATAAATACATATTCATAATCTAAATATTCAGATAAAAGGAGAGAATCCGTGCAATTATAATATTTCCTTCTTTGCAGTATTGCAAAGAAGGAAACTCTTTATTATGTCTGATTTCTTTTATTCCTGATTGATAGTTTGGGATCAATTTTGTTCTTTGTTTTTGTTTTTGTTTTTTTCATTGTTTTTAAAGGCATATTTGCTTAATGTGTTTTTAAGATATATATATATATATTATTTATAAAAATAAATAAATAAAATGTTTTTGAAAACAGCCAAGACACTTTTTATGTGTTTTGAGTATTTTCAAAAACAACCATATTTTAATCAAACATATTAAAGATGTTTTGTTTCAAATCAAAACATAAACAAAACGAAATAAGAAGAAAAATAGAAAATAAAAAACAAAATTGATTCCAAACGGCCCTAAAACCATAACATTAAGAATGTAGAAGACTCAAAATTCCTCCAACAAGACGAACTCTTAATAACCAGGCAAAAGACTTATAAACCTATTTCTTGCACTCCTGTAGCATTTAGAATGTAGTACACCCTAGCATGATGATCATACCTAGGTGCATGTAATTTAACAGTTATCAATGAACACTATAATAGATATAATGGTAGGAATCCAATCGACAGATGTGACAACTTAATCATGATAATTTCAACACAATGTTATATCCTTGCCATGAAAAATATAATCCAACTCTATCAATTAACTCAATCATAGTTCAAAACAGTAGAAAACTGACATTTAGGAACATTAATTTGTCTTCTCTACATGCAAATGATACGTAAGTTCAAGAAGAATAAAGAAAACTCAAATATGTTACATAGCATGACAAACTGATGGATACCAATTAAGCTTCTATAATTCTAATGCAACTAGGAAGACACAATAAATATATATCACATAAAAAATTAGGATTTGTAGATCAAAGAATGAAAAATACAAACACAAAAAAACTTTTTTATAATGAACAAAAATAAAATAATAAAATAAGAACCCAATATGATAATAAAATGATCAAATAAGGCCTTATTACACATTCAAAATGGCACTTATGTGCTTGTATTTAGTCCACAATTTGTTGCATTTGGAAAGTTCAATGAGGCCTTGCTTGTGCTCATTGACGAGCTTCAAAGTTCAGTGCAAGTCCCACTCACCTTATTTTTGGCTCTTTTAAATTCATTCAATGTGACTTGCAATGTAGTTAAAGTGTTCATTGGAAGATCTTGTTTATACCATTCTGCAAGCTGTTTAGTATTATGTAGGTCTTATTGAGTCTAGTTCAAGCCTTGTAACACAACAATTATTGCAATTCGAAGGCCTAGTTTGTAATTTTATTTTGTCTTCGCAATTTATATTCCATTTATTTTTATTTTGAGATACATTCATGTAAAAAAAAATGTTTTTATTTTTATTTGTTTCAAGTCTTTCACTGAAATTTTTCAGCAACTTTCTTACAACTCTCTTTGTAGAATGTATTTATGAGTGAAGGCCTACTCACCATATCAAAAACATAATTGGTTGGTTTGGGGGTGGGGTTCTTTAAGTATTTGCATGTACACAAGAATTTTCCAATGCATTAAAACAATACATGCACGTGCTTTAATTTGAATCTCAATATCATGCTAAGAGAAGCAAGCAAGGGGCTTGCCAATCGTGTCAGGCGTCTCGCCTACAAGTTTCCTCTAGTGTGCTAGAAATGAGCACATGGCTTCCACTTAACGTGCCCAACAAATCACAATAGAAATTACATATAGATTTTAGCCAAAAACTTTTGTTCCATTGTGTTCAGCTTCTTTTAGCTCGAATTAATTAAATAATTAAATAAATAATATTTATGTTAATTTTTTTATTGTATTTTAAAAAATATTAACATTTATTATTTTTAAATCATTCGAGCTAATTTCTAGCGGGACACAAACTAAAGCTAACAAAGGAATTTGCATCTAGCCGAGCATGAACACACTATTCACGAGCAATTTCAAACAAGAAAATAGTTTCAAACGATCTGAATAAGAATAAGCACTAAGTTCTCTCAGGCTCTGCTCTTTTACACCCCTAAGCATCAAGGCATAACAACTTCAACTAGTTTTTACGAACAGATGACCAATAACAGGCCTATCATTGGAAAACTGCCTTCCCGCACTTCAATTCCATTAGAATTAAAATCCTACCAGAAGTGCCAGTATCTCACCTTATCAAAAATAAGGGAGATTTGTCAGAAGTACGAAGTTTGTGAAATTGGTGATCCTTGTAAGGTTTCTCGTAACCATTTTGTTAAATTCTTTGGTAATCATTTGCATTACGACTATGTTTCACAGGATTATTGGGATTTGTTTCTGAAGTTTGTAAACATATTTGTATTTATCTGCTTCTCCTACTGAACTATATCAATGGAGCGCCCAAAATTGCAACCACGTATGGAATTTGTACCATATCAACGAAGAAATTAGATTTCCCAGAGACCTAAGCTTTAGTCAAGTTCCACACCATTCAACCGAAAATGAAAGCCTGATACTGTAATATAAGTCTCATCTTTCTACAGAGACATCGAATTTAGTAAGAAAAAACGTGCCAGGTTTTACATCGTTCGCAAACTCGAAATATTAATATGAAGATGAGATGAGAAGACCTACGACGTTCTCGTAAACCCTAGGATCGAAGTCCATCATTGCAGCGGCCAGGAAGAAGATGAAGATGAGCGGTAGTCAAGTTTGCGAAAAGGAGAAGAGCTAGGCACGTCTCGATTGTAGTCTCTTATATTCCCTCCCTTTCGTTAGCCGGCGACTAGTTATATAGAGTGCTGCGACCCTCCAAATTTTTGAGGAAGAAGATATCACGGTGAAGAAAAAGCAGAGCCGTGTGTAGGAGTTATATTTACGCGAAATTTACATAAATACCACACAATTCTAATATATATTTACAACACTTTGGTGTGAAAATTATGTATATAAAAGTGTAATATTACTTTTAGAATGCTAATGATACTCCTATTTATGTATTTAAATATGAAATGATTGTGGCATGATATATATGTAAATATGAAATTTTATATAAGAATAGAATGGTATGTACGTAATTTTTTTTTATATTCATTTGATTCTTAAAAGTGATGTGCGTATGAAGATGAGATGATAGGCCGGTGGTTAGACATTTTATCACATACTAAAAGGTCTCATATTTGAAGATAGCCGACAAAAATAAAATAATATTCATGTCATTTTTTATTTATTCATTTAGTTTTATAATTATTGTGATTGTCTTGTGCCATATCAACAATATAATCTATTTTATCATTTCTTGTTTTGATATCACTGCTTGGCCTTAAGATATATAGTGAGATATAATATTTATACTATGATTGCATTTTGCCCTACCATAAAATATATTTATGTTCTTTAACAACTTTAAATGCACTCTATTTATCAACCTTATATGACAAATTTTTAAAACAGGTTAGCTTTAGGGCTCATTTTTGAATAATGATATCCTCCGACGACCAAATTCTATCGGTTCTAATGAAAAACGTCGTCAATTTTATTATTTCTGACACTTTATCAACTATTTTAAGCTCGTAGGTAAAATATTTGTTGGTAGTTTCCAAAATGAAGGATATTCCGACGGCATGAAATTGTAAGCATATAACTGAAAATTTAATGTCATAGGATTTTTTGAGAAAATTCAAATCGTCAGTTTTCGTCAGTTTATAGAATCAATGGTTATTCCATCGAAAATAACGACAGCTCGCGCGTCGGAAAAATGTCGTGTTTGTCGATTTTTTTACGCAGGCAAACTATCGATATGTGTCGCTGATATGTCGGTTATTTTAACCGACGAATGACCTGTTGGATAAGTGTCGCGTCCTTCGTTTTTGTGTGACGCACTTAAATCGTCGATTCAATGTCGGCTATGCATCAGTGAATAAGTTCTTTGGCTAACCGTCACTTTTATCTACCAATATGTTAAAAGTTGTTACAAAACTAATAGTAAGTCATTGGAAAACTGTAGCATCAAAAAAAAAAAAAAAATGTTAAAAGTTGTTACAAAACTAATAGTAAGTCGTTGGAAAACTGTAGCATCAAAAAAAAAAAATTAATTCTTTATTTTGTATTTACATTACCACATATGTTATCACAACATTTAAAATATCATTCCAAGCATTTAATGAACTTAAATAGCAGTCAAATAGTAAGTTATCCAATCAAATAACGAAATAAATAAAATGCATTTAATATAAAATATATACACCACTGTTTACACAAAAAAATATATATGTACAAACGTAAAACATAATCATAAAAAAAGATAAATAACCCTCATACTCGTCCTCCTCTTTCTCCTCATTCTCGTCTTCATCGTTCTTCAATGTTTTCTCCTCCTCCAATGTTATCGCTGCTTTGCCACACTCCCTCATCCACTTCCAGAAGAAATCTAACTTTGCCTTCAGCTTAGCCTCTATGGAGACGGAGGCGAGGGCGGGGCGAGGGTGTGGTTCGAGGTGATGGCGAGGTTGGTGGTTGAGGTCAGGGTGGGGTGGGGGTGGCTGTCAAAGTTGACTTGCTTCTATGTTAGATAACGCTGTGCTCCACGCCCCCACCCCACCCCTCCCCCTCCCTCAAGTGAGGAGGGAGGTCATCCCTGCCTCCAGTCAACATCTACAACAAATAGAATAAATTTTATTAATTAGTGCACATAAAAACATACTATGCAATAAACTAAAAACAAAACAGTACGTAATAAACATAAAACACATAAGTATGTAGCAGACAGGTAAACAAAACTGTAACTTACAAGGTACAGGTACTAAAATCAAAAACCAAAAAAGTATGCTATAAACTAAAATATGAAATTCAATGAAAAGTACAATATACAAACTTAGGAAACTAAAGTTTTAATATTTAAAGTAGCCTACTCATCTTGCTCAGCATCATCTGCAGAGTGACTGGAGGATGTTTTCATGATCTATTCTTCAAACACATCATCGGAGTCGTACTCATTATTGAGAATAATTTCTTTGTATTCACTATTAGCCACTTTTAGATTGAGCTGTTCATCAATGGACTTTTCTAGATGGATCGATGGGATGATTTTCCACCTTCCCCAAAGATAGTCGAGATGATTCCAACAATATGAACTTCATTTGCCATGATTGGTCTGTCGGACAGCTCCTTGACGGGCTCTTTTTCTAGCCACCTCATTTGTCCCTGACAACAAAGAACTCCTTGAGTCTCCAGGTCTTGATTAGCTCCTCCACCAAGCATTGGAGATGGTGACACTCCTATGTGTCATGCCTGTGACAGTAGTGGTCGTAGTATTTGTTTGGGTTTCGAAGCTCAGGTATGACCTTCATCAGCGGGGCTTTCCTGAAGTACTTATTGTTTTGTATGGTTGCAACCAACTCAACCATGGAAATGTTCAGTGGGGCTAAACCCTACATAGCTCGATATATGTGTGATTGTTAGTAATACTAAAACGGTTGATGATTAGGGTATCCTGACTTCCTTTATTGTTGCTTCAGTTCTCCTTCAATCTTTGGTTATTGCTTTAATGTTGATGACTTGAGATATTCTAGTTATTCCTCAACTTTTGTTCTTCATCATTTGTCTTCCTTTTCTTTGACTGATGCTCGGTCAATTCAGCTTTGAAATTAGGATTATTGTCCTCCTCGACATGGATGTGGTTGTGGGTTATCTTCCACAATTCAGGGAAAGTTTTTGGTTCAAGTAGATTCAAATTGCACATGAATCACCCTTCTCTAACCCCTTGTGTCAGTGTTGTTCGAACAATCAAAGGCCGCAAATCCTTAACCCCCAACATCCTTCTGAAGGTCACATGTGGAATAGGTTGATGTAAGAACGTAAACTCTCGTTCTCACCTGTTTTATTTGAAGTAGAACCTGAGATCTCTTCTTTAACTTTACATATTGGTGAAGTGCAACACAAAAAGCTTTAAAACTCTGTGAAGGTTGGAATGATACCAACAGAAAGATTGAGGAACCAACGAAGAGCCGACTTTTTAAGTGTCATGAGGAAAAGATCACACTTCATTGCGTCGCTAATTTGTAGTATAAAGACCAATAATTCAAAAGAGGTCGGCTGGTCGGTCGGATCACTTTTTTCCTTGTATGGATCCAAATGAGGAACCCTTAGCTTCGTTAGGGATAGACTGACAAGGTCCTTTGACACGCTCCGCCCGATGCCTCACCATCGATGTAGAGCTAGTGTTGGCAAGTTGCTGAGAACATGCTTCTGCTTTGGTCACCCGATTATTGGCTTGCTAGTTGGGCGCCAACAATGCACGAGAGGGACCCCTTGAGGGCTAGTTCCCCAAGATCCAACCTCGAGAAGCAAAGGTTGATCATTTTTTTCACAAGAATGCTTGTTTAAGGACCTCAAATTGACCTATCATCTATTCCTTTTATTCTTGAACCCGCTTCTTGTCTGTGGTAGTCCACGCTCACCTCACCACCATTGAGAATGTTGAATTATGAATTATCTTTTTGGAAGACACCTCGAGAGTTAGAACCGAGAAAAAAGAAAAAGAAAGAGAGGAGAGAGAGAGAGAGAGAGAGAGAGAGAGAGAGAGAGAGAGAGCTTTAGAGTGAAGGAGTTCAAAAAGTCCCTTTTATTGATATTATGACCTCCTATTTATAGAAGTCATAAAAAACAATTACATGAAATGAAAAGAATAGTTACTATAACTATCCTAATGATTCAATTGACATGCCTGTTGAGTAAAAGTCACATTACAATGCAAATACAACTAGACGTTAGTCGACCGCTTGAGGTTTCAGGTTGACCGACTAAGTCGACCTATCTTGTGTTTCTCGGAGAGCAAGTAATTTGGTGAAAGTACACATCTACTCAATCACGTTCTCTTCATTGGTGGATTTGTCGGTAGTAAGCCTCCATTTGTCGGAATCATATGTCGGCCGATCATGATATGTAGTTGATCAACCACCTGTTGGCAAGTTTTCCCTTCTTAAGTCTATAACTTCCATCATTCTTGATTGCTCGATTCCTTTGAGATTCACACTAATCTTAAGTCTATAACTTCCATGGCTTGCCGTTATTCTTGATTGCTCGATTCCTTTGAGATTCACACTAATATTTTTGTAGTGTACAATAAAGATGCCCCAAAAAAAAAAATTTTTTTGAAAAACAAGTTGAATGTCAATACAAATTTTCGCCACATATAGATGATCAATTGTACTCGAGCTTGACCTTTGCATCCACACCTTGGTCAGCTTCAAATTATTACTGATCATTGTGATACTACATTTACTTGATGATTCAAATTTGGATCTCCCACTTAGGATTACATTGTAATCATACACATACATCCACGCATTACTGAGTCTAACATATACATTTAATTTAACAAGTAGGAGCTATCATGTTTAAGCTTAGGCTTCGCTTGGAGAGGCGTCTTCCCTCTCTTTCATTGGACGCGAAGATGGTAAAATGCGAGGTACCATTTTGTGATAGATTGTTGCTCGAGCATTTACCGATGCTGATCCGTAAAAACTACACTTTTTTGTTGTTTTAAAACGTGAAGGCTGGTCTCCATCTGCTAAAGCCTCGTATAAACTTACTTTGCAAATCGGCGAAGCTCCTTGAAACGAGGTCTCAATTGACTCTAACGCGCTCATTTAGTTGATTGATTGTTTTAAATTTGTCTAATTATAAACATCATTTTGCACTTACAATTTTTTTTTTTATTGTGTACGTTTCATTAAGGTTATGATCTCCGTTCGATTGTGTCCGCCTCATCATAATCACAATTTTATATGATCTATTAATGCTTGGGCACATACATGCCATAATTATGGCTTTTGATTAATTGAGCTCAACTAATTAAGCTCAATTTGATCTGATTAATTAAATTCATGAAGAATATTCCGAAAATTCGGCAAATGTAATTAGCTAGCATGCATGCCTCCATGTGCTTATGCCTATTTAAATTTGAGGTCAGATTAAATTACTCTATTTTGTTGGCGTCAACATAGGCTAGGGATTTCAACGAGTCAAATCGAGAGTTGAGCTCGAGTTTGATTAATTAAAGAGGTTTAAGCCCACTTTAAAGAGTACATGCTAACCAGAGCCAACTTGTTTAACATGAAAAAGAGAGACATTATCAATTTTGTATAATGATAAATGTAAAAAATAATTAAGAGATAAATAATAAAAAATATATATTATATGAAATATAAAATATTAATTTTATAATATTTTAAATAATTTAAAGAAAAAAATTTTAATTGTGATATTTTTGGAGCATACTTTATATTAACTGTCTTTTAAATAAGCTGGTTTATGAGCTAACAAATCGAGCAGTGGCTAGCTTGAGTTAGGCTTGTTAAAGTGGTAAGTTTTTTTAAAAAAAGTAAACTTAGGTGTTAAATATGTAAATACATAAAAGTTAAGTGGTATGCATGTAAATCTTTCTTTAATTTTCTTTTATCCAACTAAAGGCACGTGTATAACCTTCTACAATCTAAATACGGTGTATTTACTTCATTTTATCCAAAATATATTTAAATTTTAAATACTTGCAATTAGGGCTGTAAACGAGCCGAGTTTGAGCGAGCTCAGGCTTGGCTCGTGTTCGGCTCGTTCGAAATAGCTCGTATTTGAAATCGGCTCGTGTTCGAAATAGGCTCGTGACCAGTGTGTTCGTGTTCGGCTCGATTTAAATATTCGTGATCGGCTCGTGTTCGATTCGAAATTGGCTCGTTAAACTAAAATTGAGAAAAATAGATGTAAAGTGTGGGATTCGAACCTGGATCAAATATATACAAAAAAAGAAACTGACCATATTGCCACATGAAGTGTTATGATTTAAACTTAGATATAAATATATATAA